ACAAAACAAGAAGAAACAACAGTAAAATATGCTTCTCCTGTAGCTTATGAAGCAAGTGGTGTGTAACTTTATCCACGAAGATTCCCAGGAATTGGAATATGCAGAAAGGGACTTACATCTGATTTATGTTGGGCCTGAAAGAACACAGGCACCAGAGGTAAGTAATGCAAGGCTGTGGAACTTGACAAGTTGGAGGTTGTCAGGCAGTTACAGAAACTTTAGATCATGGTTCAAAGCTGGCACAGCTCTATTCCAGATAGGTTGGAAATCTGTGCTTGGTTGTTTGGGTGGCTGTGTCTTCTGCCCAGAAATGAAGTCATTCAAGAATACAACTGTGAAAAAAATACTCTTACACATGAAATTGGTATTGCTAGCAATGGCACATTAAGCTTTGGTTAAAGAAGAGTCCCTGTGAACTGAAGACTTGTGCAGTAGTATGGGAATTTGTTTTAAATGAGGACAATGTATCATGTATGTGATATCTGCAGTCCTGTGCTGTTTTGGAAGATGATCTCAGAAATCACTGATTATTCACTTAAATGTTCCAGAGGCCCCTGAATGACAGGCCAGTACACCTAAAAGTGCCTGAATTGTTCAACAGCAAGCTTCAGTGCAGTTGTGTGCCAAATAGGTCTTGGTTATTGTTAAAAGTAACATGAAAACAATCAAATTACAGGGTCTGGACAGTTGAAGTTTTTGTAATGGGAAGGCACTTCACATGTCCAATAGCAAAAGAAGAGAACTGGAGGCACTTTTCCCTTATGAAGTTGTTTCTTGCTTGCTGGAGGTCATCAGCAAAGATGCAAGAAGATTGGGGGCTCCTTCCATGACTATCTAGCCCAACTGCCTGACCTCTTCGAGGAAAACCAGGAGATGAAGCTTATTCCTGAGGGCATCGTCCCAGTGTCTTCTGAACAAGTGGCAACCAGAAGTTGGCACAGGAAGGGAAGGCATATCCTGAAGAGGATGGTGATGAGTGGCATGGTGGGGCAGGCATGACTGCCATTTTGTAAGAGCACCTAAGGAACAAAAACCTTGTCCACTAAGCATTAGACTAAAGCTGGCAAGAAATTGTTTCTGTTGAGTGAGAAAAGCCATTGTGTGGCTGCAAAGCCTGGGTGCAATGACTAACATGCAGAATACCTCTGTCCACTGATAGAAGTTCTGCTCTGACTGATGCTGCTTTCCCAGCTGAAATGAGAAAACAAATGGAGGCAAGAAGACAGCTGCTAAGACAAGTGGAGTCATTTTGCTAATTGTGGTGGTGAGCTACAGGAAGCAATTAACCTGACACTTTGGCCAGGTTGCTTCAGGGTTTGTCATAGCTCTGATCTGAGGATTTCACTGAACCTTGAAAGAAAAATAGCCCTGGCTTCTAGTGAGTAAGCGTAGTGTAGGCAGGTGTTGGGCAACGCTTCCACACCACACACTGTAAACGCTAATTTTGCTGACATTAAAATCCCTGGAAGTATTATCAGAACTTATATTTAAGATGAATAAAATCTTTTTTCCTGGGACAAGGTTTTTCTTCCATGTGTTATAAACCTAACAGAAGCCTCTGCCACTCTTTATTGCTTCTTGTAGCTTTAAACAACGATAATATTGCATCGGTGTGATAGGTGTATATTAAATTTATGGATGAATAAAGTTGGCATGATGACTCGGAGAGAAATCATTATGAAGATTCAGTTTGTATTTAAAATAAAATTGAAGTGGTCTTAGTGGGTGAAGAAAGTTAGAGCTCTTCCCATTACAGGTCCTCCTGAGTTTCCGTGGTCCCATTCCTGCCCTCCTTCCTGTAAGAAGCTGTGTTGTCTGTGTTTGTTTTTAGTCTCTTAATTTTAGAATGAAATACTGGCCCATGACCATGATTGGCAGGTGACAGTGTGACTTCCCAAGAGTGACTTAAAGAGCTTTGTCTCTAGAAATGTCAGAAAAGCTTTTCACTTTGACTAACTCTGTTACAGTGAATGAAATACTTTGTGTTATACTGGAGCTGAACCTGGTAGCAACGCAGTCTTTTCCACTGCAGAGCAGGACTTGCTGCAAAAGATTCTGTAGTTGCCACAGTTACGTTCATTTGTTAATGTGTATTAAAAGAAGATTCCTTACCTCTGAAATAACATTGTTTTCTTTAAATAATTGCCTGATTCATCACATTATGCTAATCTTAGAGGGATAAAAAGCCATGAGGATTTCTGAAAAGATGCAGGATAGACCTGCTAGTTCCTACATAGACACTCCAGTTATCACCACATTTGTAGGCTTGTCCACAAGGCAGATGGAATATTTTTCTCTCCCTAACTTTTCTCTCTGGCTTGAGCTTACACAAAAGAGAAACAGGTTTTTTTTCAGGTGAAGTGCATTTCCAAGTCCAGGATCTAGCTTTCCATAGCATGAAATTCTGCAGGTCGTGGTCTTCTCAACAGTCATGCTTTGAGATACAAGCAAATATCTTTCTCTTCTTCCAGTGATGGAATAATAATAATAATAATAAAAACGTACAACAAAGCCAAGTATTTTGTTGAAGAAAATATATGGAAAACCTCTAAAAAGTTAAACTGGCTGTTAATCTTTGTCTGAAATACATCATGATACTGAAGCTAGGTCCAGCTTTTCCCTCTTCTTAGTGTTATACCTTCTGATGTTAATAACTATCCCCCATTTTAATCACTCCTAGATAAAATAATTAAGGAATTGGAGGAAATATTCACCCATGCATCTAAAATTATATAGCTTTATGTGAATGCCATCTCTGAGATGCATCTCATAAGGCCAATAAGTGACAGCAGGAATGGAGTTAAGATAGGGTCGGTTCCATCTTGTAGGTGAGCTTTTCTGGGGACTTAGAATTTAGCCATTGAACTTGCTCTAAAGTCTAACCTGGCATGTATTTTCAGTTTTCAGGCTTCAATGGTTATGTACATGCTCTTATGTAGTAGAATCATGTCAAAATCAATTTGCTTATTATGTGAAGCCAGCTAAAACCAACAGTCATCTGGCTGTAACTGGGTCCTTTTTCTTGTGTGTGCTATTCTAATTTCAGAAGAGTTTTGCTCTTAAAAGTGATTTTTTTGCAGGTCAACTGTGTATGATAAAGCCTAGACTTCCTTAGATATTTTTATTTACTCACGGAATAAGGCTTAACTGTTTGTAACCTAATAGAAGGTTTGCTTAATTAATAAAGCAACCGGAATAGTCTAGTGCTTGTAACTCTGAATGCAAAGGGATAAATAAAGTAACTGCTCTAAGTGCAGAAGTGCTAGTAGACCACCTTTCTTTCCTTCTCTACTCCTCTATGCGGTTTCCTTTTACCGAAATCCATTCTGAAAGATGTCAGTGAAATGTAGGTTGTTCGGTGGGTCAGGATTTCATCTGAATCCAGGCAGGCTTCCCTCATGGGAAAGGGAGGGCTCAAGGTTAATACTTAGGTGGAAATAAAACCCCCAAACCAGAAAATATCGCATTTCTTACTTTTGGTCTTTGTATCACACAGTTGTTTTCTTTTGTTTTGATTTTTTTTTTCCTTTTTTAAACAGGCAGCCTGCCTTCTAAAGCACATAGGGATGCCAGCTTTTGCCTACGTAGCTTTGTCTTCCAATAAAAAGAAACAGGGACTGGCCGTAGCTCTCAGATGCTGCCCATTTCAGCTGAATTTACTTAGTGTGCAGTACTACATTTGCCTAAGGTCTGATCCTTATCTGTGGAGATGAAAGAGAATTACATCACCCCTTCTGCTGTCCAGGGAAGCAGGCTTATTGCTCTGAGAGCCTGTTCCTCATCACGGCTTGCAAATTGTGGCAAGGGCTGCTGATGGAGCCAGTGCTTGCCTTATGGGGAAAGGTGCAGAGTCAGCAGGCCATCATCATCCCCAGACTTTTGTCCAATGACATCAGTTTATTCCTGCTGAAGGTTTGGAGTGCTTTGGAGTGCAAACCATAAACCACAGTCCATGTGCACATGCTAATAAAGATGGCAATTGCTCATTTGTGGTGCTTTGATTGGGTCAGGTGTGTAGAATCTGTTCCACAGGTTCTTGCAGGTTACATGTGTAAGGTCTGTATGCATGTACAGACCATTTGTTCAAGTTTTATGTTTCTTAATGTACAGGAAAGTTGGTTTCTAAACAGTAAGCAGGCACAGGTACTAGTTTCTATTCCCAGAGGAAATAAGCCCATGTTAAATTCCAAGGAGTAGCTGTATGAAAGTCAATCTGTGGCAGAGAAGCCTTGAACTTCATTGCCATTTCCCTGTCCATCTTGTTACCTCCTTCTTATTTATATTTAGGAGCACCCAAAATGTGAGAGGCAGAATATGAACAAAGGGTTACTTAAGTCAAGGGTCATTAAATGATTTGTGTTGAACAGTTGCAGAAACATGAACTTTTCCCGGTGTTTTCCTTTATGGCCTGGTCTCCCTCCCTCAGCTGAATTTAAAAAGCACAGTGACAGTCTGAAATCACGTGCACTAAGCCCTGTGACACCTGTGTTTTACTGGCACCCTTGGCAGAGCCTGGCCCCACAGCCACCTTTCACACCCAGTTTTTGGTTTGACTGTAGCTGTGGTGAGAAACACTCTTCCTGTGTTTTTGCTAGCAAACACATTTAAACCCTAGTGATTTAGGACTTTCATTTTGGAAGGTAACATAAATTAACTTGCTGAACACTCACATCAGAAAAGTGATACAACTGTCTCTTGAAATTATGATCTGGAATGAATTATGTCTTATGACTAGCCCTAAACATTTTTATTTCTTTTCAAATGGTGCTTTTTGTCTGTTAATTCTGTTGGACAACCTTTGTGGTTTGTTTTTTCTTTTTTTTTTTTCCCAACATTTGTCAGGTTGGTGTAGAGAGAGAGATAAAATTTAGAAGCTCTTATAAATAGGCAGTAAAAGAAATACAGATGGGTTGAATCTTCTTCCTTATCAGCTGAAAAAAAAGAAAAGGTTCATGAAACAGGAGAGTCCAGCAGAACAGCTGCCCTGAACCACCACTCCCATTGTTTTTGCGTGTTGGGAGATAGAGTGGCTATGCAGCAGGAGGATGGACTGGGGCTTTCAGAGGTGGTGGACTGTGTGGCTCTGTTGGAAGGGGAATTGCCTTTCCTGTTTCTGGCCTTGCTCTGAAGAATGCAGGTGCTCATGGCTTTGGCCGTTCCTCAGGCTGCTGTTGTCCTTGCTCCTCCAGCATGGGTGAGGCACGGCTGCCTCACCGAGTGAGGACATGGAAGAGGAAAACACCTTTCAGTAAAACAGTAAGTGGTGGCTGTCTCTGTCCTCATCCTTCATAGTCAGTATTTTCAGTCTACCACTTGACCTGTTTCAGGGTCTTTTTCCTATTGGATTTCAGGCTCTTTAGGAAGGACAGCTGTGTTTGTCTTCATGACTTGGCTGTCTGGCTCTGACGGTTTCACGTTGTGTTCTTGCGTTTGCGTTGCTGCCACAGTGAGCTTGACAGATAAGACAAAATAAATTGTTGTGATGTGAGCTGCATAGCTTTTTCCTTTTGTTCAGCTACCAACAGAGCAGAGGTTTAAGTATCTTTCCATCTCTCTGTGCTCCTTCCTCCCCAAAACAGTGCCACAGACTTGTGTGCATTTAAGTGGCACTGATTCACTGTCACTGCAGGTCCTCATGTAAGTGAGTGCTTGGGCTATTGGGACCCAGGGTCTCTATAGATCCTGTGGCAGAACTGGTCAGGATTCCCCTGCCTGTCTTTTCATTGCAGAGTCCGACTGCACCTTCAGCAGTAGCAGGCCCTCAGCTGGCACCTCTCAAACGCCGACGTTGGACTGCTGGCAGCGTGCGTGCTGTTGATGTGGCCGGACTGGTCTGCAGGCAGCGGTGGGCAGTCTGCGTGCACAAGTCTGTGTGGGCTGCGGGTCCTTGCCAGCCATCTGTCAGCGGCCATTTCCAGGCTCTTTCCTACAGCTCCAGCCAGCTGTGCCAGTCTATTTGTGCTTATGGTTTAACGGCAGAAACCCGCTGATTTTTTTTCTAACTGGTGCTGCTTAGGAACAGGTTTGCTGCAGGCAAAACGAACACGCAGAATGTTTGTGTATTTTTTTTTTCCTGTCCTCTCAGAGATTTCTAGTTTTGATTCAATCTCTTTCTCAGCCTGTCATTTGATCAATCAGTAGCTGAGTGCGTGTGGACATTGTTGCTTAACTCTAGCTGGGTCCTGCAGTGGTGTCAGAAAGGCCTCTGGCTAGCTTGTAGTATGGGGAATGGTTTTCTGCAGAAGCACGTGTGCTGAGCTGTGAAGCAGGTGGTGAGTCTGCAGCAGCCTGCAGCAAATACTGAACTTGTTACTGCTGAACAATGCCAGGCGTATGCTTGTGTGGGAATAAAGTCAGCCAAGACGTAATCACATTCTGCGGTGTTCACCAAGTGTAGCTCTTGTGGGTACAGAAAGTCCAGACAGGAATACAAAACCTTTGTTCCGGCTGTCCTCTGGTTATGTGGAATGAGCTATTGCGGATCCAGCTCTTGGCTCTTGAGTAATTTCCGAAAATAGTGCAAACATAATCCTTTCTGAGGGCACAGATGGTGGTATTGTGGCTTTATGCACTGTTGTGCTGTGAGTTAGAGAAGTATGGTGTTGTCAATATATTGCTCAAAGTAAGGGAACTGGAAAAAAAGCCTCTTTCTACTGTTTAAATTTAGTCATGTATCTACTGGAAGGGGTTTCTGATACGTGCAAAATTCCTTGCCAGTCTATTTTTTTGCCCATTTACAGTCCAAAGCATTTTTTGTCCTGAAACTTTAATACAGAATCAGCAAATCTCACCTGAAGGGCTTGAAAGTTGAGATTGCTCCACTGAGCTTCATGAAAAAAGCTGTATTTTGGTTTGTATTTGTGGAAAGATGAGTTCTGCGTATGACTGTTTTATCATTTGTTAAACTGATCTGTTTCATCTCATTTTAATAATTCAATGATCCTTGAAGTACTGGGTGCTTAGTCTAACCTGAGGAGCAAGGTTCATCCTTAGAGATGTCATCATCTAGGATCTTTTCAGGTTAGTAAAAGTAAGCTTCTTGGGTAGTGTCTAAGTAAAATTTGAAATAGGAAAATGATTTTTCAGAAGGTTCTGTATCTCTTTTTGGGATACAATCTGTATGAAATTTGTCGCATGCAGATTCTGCACAACACAAATTCTTTAAACCTATAAATTACCTGCATGTTCTTGCAATAAAAGATTGTAAATGATTATTGTTTAATTTTTCATAGCCATGCCATACAGTAAGGTCCTGAGAGCAGCATATATAACAGTTTGGCAAACAGTTTTTGTTTTTTTTTTTTTTTTTCCCTGTCGTAAATGAACACGCTTCTATTACTTTCCAAGTCCATCTTCCGTATTTTTTTCATAGTCCTCCTTAACTTTGTCCTTGCCTGACCCTGGGACTGCTTTCAAGATGGAATCCTGGAAAGGACTTGACTTTGAGTTTTTAGAGTGAAATAATGACCTTGTTGATTTTCACAGCTAGGATTTCACCTGAAGACTATACCAGCAAAGATGAACCTCACAATTTAAGCTTTCATTTGCATTTAGAAAAGCAGACAAACAACAAACCAACCAACCAACAACAACAACAAATGCTTGCTGACAAAATTATTTTATCACAAGTAGCTTCAAGACTGTATACTTCAAAAAAGATAGATGTGCGTAATGTGGGCATAATTTTGGTGCTATCTGTTTTGTAAAAGCTTAATGAATTAAGTACTTAGTATTGGTTATTACTTAGCAGTGGTGTGCTGTTGTTGTTTGTTTTTTTCCAGTCTAACTTATTCAGAGGTGCAAGAAAATATCTGTTCAAATATCAATTGCAGATGGACAGGTGTTATTTAATTCCCAGAAAAAAAGTCCTAAAAAACTGGTAAAACAGCTTAGAAACAGAACATGTGATCAGAGCTCCTGGACTGCAGGATTTAAAGTTAGCTTTTATATTGTTTTTAATTCAGTTCTTTCAGCAGGAAACTTTTACATTCAGACTTGGAATGAAATATTAGTTTCAAACATCACATTCCACCAGACCTAAAGGCTGTCATTTTGTATCCTGTATGCCCCCGTTTGCAACTTAGAGGAAAAAAGCTTTGTTTCTTTATAATCACAGAATTGTAGGGGTTGGAAGGGACCTCAAGAAATCACTGGATCCAACCCTGCTGCCAAAGCAGGTTCCCTGCAGCAGGTTGCCAGGTAGGCATCCAGACGGGTCTTGAAAATTTCCCTAGAAGGAGACTCTGCAACCTCCCCGGGCAGCCTGTTCCAGTGCTCCCTCAACCTCACTGTGAAGAAGTTCTTGCACATGTTGGTGCAGAACTTCCCGTGCTCCATTTTGTGGCCATTGCCCCTTGTTCTGTCCCCACAAATCACCGAAAAGAGTTGTTCTTTTGTCAACAGTCCTTACTGTTTACTCAAGCCAAAAGATCAATGGAGATCTTCCATGTCAGAGTTCGCAGCGTTTAAGAGGAAAAACAACTGGTCTGAGTGCCCTGTTTTACTGCTTATCAGGGTCCTTCTTGTCTGCTCTCCAGAGTGCTTTCGGAATCTCTACGTTGTGGTTGTAAAACTGTAAAAATGAGAGACAGAAATGTACTGTTGGAATTGAGAAAGTGGGAGTAGAAAAGACAAAGATTTGTTGAAATAAATTTGTTGAAATATATGAGGCCTATGGCTTGGTTGTTTGGCTTTCACTGGCTTGGTGATTTAAAAAAAAAAAAAACAAAAAAAAAACAAAAAGGCAAGTGTTTGACAAGCTGCATTCATGGGATAACTTTTAATTTCCACTTGCTTTCTTTCATCTGTCTTCCTAAATGTCAGTTGTAGTCACCCAGGATGGGTTTTGGTACTCTACATTTTCAGAACAATGATATAAACTGAGTTCTGACCCAGCATGTTACTAAAATCCCATGTTTTCTTAATCAGCCCTTGAAAAACAGTGGGAAGATAGTAGTTTTATAAACCTGGACTTTAGTGAGCTAAAGAGTAGATGGTTTCAAAGTTGAAAATGACCACTTCATACTCATACATTATCAGTCTCTTCCAGTTTCAATTTCTGGCTGCTCTAAAGTCTTAGCCCTCACAGGAAACACTGTAATAAGCTGATCTCATTTACCGAAGTGTGCATCATTGTGTTGAAGCCACGCTGGAGAGAAGAGTTTGTATTTCTCATGCCAAATGCCTGTCAAAGTTTAAGGGTTCCAAGAGAGAAAAATTTATTAGACCAGCTGATGTTCTTGCAGAAATGAGGCAAGTTTTCAAGCTCATGTCCAAGCTAATGTCTCAATTTGTCTAATAAAATCTGTTACTTTTTTGCAGTGATACCTTGTCCCTTGAAGATCACAAAAGCAGCATGAAGGTGGGCACCATCAAATCATGACTGGTTAGACATTGCTGTGCAGTCCCTATTTCATTGCTGGGCACTGGTTCATAGCCACCGACGTCTCTATTGTCTGTGTCATCCTAACTAGCCTTGCCACCATTTTATTTCTCTTCTCCTCTGCAGAGGAAAATCTGGCTTTGGGTGCTATGCATAAGCAACCAGTGTTAGGAGGCACTTCTTTGTCTCCGTGCCGTGGTGAGCTCCGCCAGTAGCACTGCTTTAGCCCAGCCGTGTTCCTCAAGGCTATCCCAGTGCAAGGACTCCTGTAGAGCATGCTGTCCCAGGTGCCACATCCCCACGGAATGTTCCCTCAGGGTATAGGGAGCGCTGTGCAGGTTCCCTCTCGCCCTCCTGGTGTTGTCCCTTAAAGTGGGTGATGCTTCTGGAGCATCTGGGAAACCCTGGGCCAGCCAAGCGAGCTCTGTCCAGCACGCTTAGGCACAGTGCATATGTAGCAGCAAATGGACGCTTCGACTGCATTTTACCTAGGAAATTCACGTGAAAAATCCATTTTTGTCTTTGCTCTTCTGGAAGGTCAGCAGCTGCCCCTAGCTAAAACTTCTAGCACAGATCTCCATGTATCCTCTTTGCTCCTTTGAGTACTGATGTTACACCCAGCTGTGCAAGCCTTCATTTTGCAGCCATGAGTAATTGTGTGAGCATGGTAAGTACATGTGTTAGTATAAACAGCAGAGTAGCTTTCCTGGGTATATCTATTTTTAGAGGATGAATGGGTGTGTGTTTAAAAACTATATGAAGTTTAAATACAATTGTATTACAGGGGAAAAAATAAAGGGCCTGTGCTCTGAACACTGGGCGAAAAGAAAAACAAAAAAAATAGCCAAACCATCAACACCCCTTCTCAACCCCAAACCACTATCTGGAGTTCTGTCAATGATGTATAAAGGATCACTTTAAAATTGTGGCATCGTTTACTTCCACAGTGATTTTTTTTTTTTATTTTTTTTTAATGAAATAACCAAAGGAAGGCCTTGTGCATTTGATGGTTCTTCAAGTGGGCTTTAATGACTTAAGGAGCCTTTTGATCTCCTGTGAAAACATGATTCTGTACCTTAGTACTCTTGATTGCTCAGGTTATTTTTTCATTCAGTGTCAGCGGCTGTGTTTGCTTCCTTTTGAACCAGTAACAAGACCTTTTGGCCAGACTGGACTTCATGGTTTCCTTAAAGCTAGGTGATAAACTTTGGAGCATCCTTTGCACTTGTGGTGTTAGATGAGAGCTGGTGTATTGAAGGACCAAAAAGGATGCTAACCTTACAGGCACAAAATCCCTCCTGTTAATGTACTTTGTGTCATTTAAGTTTCCTCTCAAACAGCAAGGGTTGGATCCAGTTTCCTTTGAAGTGCTTCATTCCTGACTGCAGAAGCATCCATTATGTAGGAAGGGATTGCAGAACTCACTCAGCTGACGTTTTCAGATATACTCTGAAGAAATGGAAGTCAGAGTACGACATGCAAGTAAAATATTTAAACAGTAATGTTTTTAGGTAACTTTTAATAAAATCTTAGCTTGGCTTCAGAATGAATCCTTGCTTATTGTTGTGTGATGTGGTTACATGAAGGGGAGCTCCTCTTGGAACATGTCTGGAACATTCACCCGAGGGTGCAAAAAATATTAAAGGATTCATTTGCCCTCAGGCATGTGTAATGTGGAAGACAGCCACCTGGGAGTTCACAAATTAAATTCCTGGATTATCTTCTATCACAGGAAAGGAAGTGTTTGGTGCTTGAATGGCGTATTGCAACACATTAGCCCCGAGTTTTGCTGTGGAGATAATTGTGTGGGGCACCAGTACTGTGTAAGGCTTCTCAGATGTGTTTTAATTGTTCTGTTTGAAGCTCCAGTAGCTGATACAGTACATTGAATAACTGAAGAAAATATAAACATCTAGTAGCTTCTGTCTGTTCAGACAACTTGTTTGTTTCATTAACCCTTTTTCTGAACTGTGTTTCCACTGATCTTACCTGCCATGGGGCTGCTGCTTACCTCTGCTTCTTGGACAGAGATTGCAGTCTTCGGCCTGTCACAGTTGCTTATGATGGCAGTTTTCATCTTTTCATGCATTTGGTGAACTCAGGCCAAGTGTGAATTTGGTGATCTTTGGTGTCCTGGGACAGTAATAAGTGATTGCATGTCACTAAAAATGGTGCTCAGCTTATGCCAGACTGGTTAAGCCTGATGATTCAGGCTCCTGCAAAATGTGTTGGACTTTTTATTTATTTATTTTATCATGGATGGGCTAGCAGCTGTGTCAAAATGTAGCATAAGTTTGTAGCTGATGATCAAGCAGCCAAGAGACAGAAAGAATGAAGAAAAAAAAAAAAAGCTATGTGAAATCTGTCCCATGCTTTATGGGTGAGGGTTGTTGTGTTTTTTGTTGTTGTTGTTGTTGTCCTCCTCCTTATCTGAAGCTGTCCACCTCCACTTTTTATTAGATTTACAGGTGGGATAGACCTGCACTGAAGTTGGCTATGCCAAGTATCATCTACAGTTTTCACTTAGGTCCTCTATTTGTAGATTTCTTTTTCCTGGATTTTGCTGAAAATTTGAAATACAGCTTTAATTGACAGAAATAAAATCTGTACACCTCTGCTGCACTGAACAGGATTCCTTTGGGCTAGCACTAGTTCAGAAGTGTTTTATTGGCACAGGATAATACTGAAAGTCTGTAAGGTCAGTGAAAACGTGGATTAAAACCTCCCAATGTAGCAAAGTGATCCTGCTTAGGTGAATATTGGAACAGCCATGTAGAAGTGAAGCAGTGAGGAAGGAAACCTAGACAAAGAAGGAACAACCAATA